CTTCAACTTTAATGAGTGGGACATTATTTTATGTAATTTATGAATTTGCAGAAGAAAAAATGAAGATGTAGACATTCATTTGGACATAAGTTTGTGTTAACCAAGACCTTATTTCAGGCTTTTACACCAAAAACGTGAAGTCTTTGATGTCCATACCCAGAACTGCAAAAATACCAGTTATTTCCAGTTTTAAGGATTCATTCCCAAAGACCTCTTTAGGTTTTTTTGTTTGTTTGTTTTTATGCTGTCTAATGTTATGATGACCTTCTTGTCTTGCCAGTGATTGGTCCATGGGCCGAGTGCAGTACCCTCCGCCTCAGAACTGGCGACCCCAGCTCAACCAGTCAGCAACAGCTCTCGTTCCTCCACGGGTCATGGGCCGCTCCCCTCGGCCAATCAGCACCTTACAAGAGGTAACATCAGAAGACGAGGACCGTGACAGGCATCAGGAAGTCCCCAGAGCTGCCACGCCTCACTTCCTGTCCCCCCAGCCTGCCCCTCGGCAGCGTTCCTTTTCCTGCACACAGCACGCACTGCAGCGCCGCTCTAGCGCCCACCAGCCAGAACCCAATTACCTTATAGTGTCAGACAGAGCACCCAATGAGCCCGTAGAGAGAGTAGTTGTTTCCCCTCCCACCGATGCTGCCACCCCACCAGAACACCAGCCAGCTGCAAACGGAGACAGTGTTGTTAGAGTAGAGCAAGCAGCACTAAGTTCAACAAACTCGGAGCAGAAGTCCAGAAGTGAGAGGTTAAACAACATGAGTGACTCCACACAAACAGCCCTGTAGGAAAGGAAATTCAGCTTCCTTTAGAGACACCCAGTTTTAGTTTGTCATTCGGTGCAAAGCCCTAAGCTGGACTTTAATTGTTTGTATCCAGTGTTTCTTTGCCCATTGCTTCTTAAGTGGATTGGTGTCAGACTAATACACAACAGCATAGAGAGATATTCCTTCCCTTATTACCTCTTTTTTAATTATTTCTTTTTAAATCAGCCTCATGTAAATAATTGTTTTCTTGTTTTGTTAAGATTGAGGGATACTGTTGTAAATGTTCTCTTATATGGCATGTTCAGATTTTGTAAATAATAAAATTGAATGTCTAAGATGAATTCTACTCAAATATGCAACAGCTGGTATTCATTGAAGATATAGTCAAGGAAAAATAAATGAATAACACATGCGTAGCTGCACAGAGATGTCAGGGATGCATGCAATAAAGTGACTTTTTGTTGACATGTTGTGGATTTTTTTCTCGTTAATTTACATCCACAGTCTGCGCATTCTTAAGTTATCATAAGTCCTTTATCTATCATCTTTTTTCAACTCACGATCATCAAGCATTAATGATAAAACCAAAGTCTTTGTAGAAGCAAGTCCTGCAACTGTGCAGCAGCACTCAAACAACTCTTGGTACTTACCCGGGGACTTAAAAACCGAAATCAAAAATAACTTTAATTAAATGAAACTGCGTGCATAGAGTCAACAATAAAAAATAGATTAAAACTGCTTAAAATGTTTGCTTCAATCGCCCCACCCCCCACCGGCTCCCAGAATCACTATAATTGTAAAATACCATAAAAACTGAATCGCCTTTGATGACGTTTTTAATAACAGTCAGATTCTGTTTTTGGGACTGCAGAAATGAGTTATGATGAGATGTGCGAGGTTTTCACTTTTGCACAGGCAGTGATGCGTAAAACACTGGCCTCTTTCTGGTGACGTCCAAGGCCAGCTGCTCCGAGGAAACGTCCTGCAGATATTCTGGTCTCATTATTTTTAAGTTAAATAATTATCAGATGAATGGTTCTCAGCACAGATTTCATTTATTTATTAATTATTGTTGTTATACTCGAAATTCTGGCTACAATTGGAACTGTTTTGATTTCTACTGACAAAAAGACAAAAATCGTCATTTTCATTCTTGACTTTTTTCTACTAATTGAATTAAATCAGAACAAAAAATATTTTTCTCTCCGTTTGTTTTCCTCTTCTTCTTCTTTTTTTTTTTTATAAATGTCTTTCTTCAGATGAAGGAGCGTATTTGTGGGAAGACTGAATTAGAGTTGCACTGACAGCTAAGTGTTAAAATTGATACATCCCGAAAACTAGCACAAGGTGTGCACGTCATTTACACGTCTGCATTTGGGTTCCCAGGCGCATTTGTCAGCTGCAGAGGTGTAAATGACTTGCATGATAAAAGAATCGTGGCGAAGGCAGGTCTGTAAACAGGTGGAATTAAATGTAATCAGTGAGCGTTAAAGCACTTTTACGCACACCACAAAATGTGGTATTATTTCTGCACTAAGTTACATGACAGTCACAACATAAATTTGTATATTTAGTTACATTTATTTACGTTTATTGTTTTATTGCTGTGAAAGAAAATTATTGGATTTATTTAAATTTCTTTGTGTATTTCTTTGTGTTATCAGAGCTCAGATATATCTGGTCATCCGGAAAAGCTCTCTACCGGAATCAGGTAGCCCATCTACTACTAGCAAATATACTCATACACCCTATTACTAATGCCAGTGTATATTAAAAAAATATTTTTTACTTTGGATGTATTTAGTACTAATGTGTTTTATTTGCAACTGATTACATATTAATGGTGAGACTTAGAGGTGCGTAAAGCAAGTGTTCCGGTGTTTTCCAAACCATGTGACAAAAAATGCTTTTAATTTGGTGGATGCACATTTGTCGTGGCACACAGCACTAAGCAGACAAATGTTGGAAAAGTGTGACAGTGGGAAACTGCTTCTTGCAGCTCTTTCTGGCCGTGGGAATGTGGAGCAGCAGGCTCAATCTTCACTTTATTACCTGTTAAAACTGATACTTCATTTGCAAAGTGTGCTTGGAGGAAAGGTGACTCTTGGATTCCCACGCACAGCACACGTTAGACCTTGTCACAAGATGCCCAAATAGGTTCTCATTTTTGTGATCATTTAACCAAACTTAACCATTTAAAGAGTCCCGCGTAAAAATATGGAATTTAGCGTCACGGTTTCTTTTGAAGATCCTTTTGCAGACCTCTCATAACAATTCAGAAATCCAGACTGAAAAGTTGTATTAACATTAAATCCCTTTTAGATTATCTAACAACAGATAAAAGCTGATGTTGATTGAGTTTGGCTGGATATGTAATGGATATTCACACTTTTATCGCCATCGTTTACCGTGGGATACTTCACCAAACTCTCTCTCATGGGAATCGAACTGTAGAATAGTTTCTCACTTTATTACGTGTTAGAAGTAATACATCCTAAAGAAGAGTCTTTGGGAGAGGCGGCGGAAAACAAGAAAATTACATATTTACATTAAACACATATCAGTCCCCTTTTTCACACGTTTTCAAGGATGCACCTAAAAAAAATTGCGCACTCCCTCAAATTCAGAATACACTTTCCTGACTCTTAGTCGGCGAAACATGTGAGCACAAAGTTGTTGTTATACATTCATGATTAAAAGACAAATATCTACAGACATGAATATAGAAATGTTAATGAAAAAAATATAGGAACAACATGAGACTTTTCCTTGCTGCAGATTTTTGCTCACTGCTAAAAACTTCGACACTTGAAAGATGCCTCGGCTTTGTCTCCATAACCATTTACCCCAGAGCCTGTTTTATAAGGACACATCTCATTTCTCTGTACAGGATAATGGCCTAAAAGGTCGGAGTGATTTACCTGAGCTTCACGCTGTGTGGGCGGCTCTTTTGTCACATATGCAAGTAAAGTCTCAGAGGGGCTGATTACACATTTCAAAGGCTCGTGCCTCTCCCACTTGTATGGGCAGCTGCACGCGCCAGAGGATTAGGGAAAACTCCAAGCGACGCGCCATTCAGTCTGCATGTATCTCCAAAATTACTACAAATGTATTAAAAATAAAACGTTTAAAGGAAATTAGATGCCTTAATCAGTAATTAAATATATGCATACATGTTTATATTTGTTACATCTTCAGCGACCAGTTGTGGAGGGATGAACTTAAAAGTCACATTTATTGATGTATTCCTACCTGTAGTAGGTTTTAGTGAGCTTCTGAAAAACTTTATCAATTAATTCTAATCACGGCGTATTTGTCATTACTAATAATCTATCTCACTTCCGTGAATAATAATAAAGATCTACTGAATAGTCATTGTATTTTGGCACGTGTCTGTTGCCTCATGTTGCCACACTCTGAATATCAAAGTCACCCTGAGGTGATTCACAAACCTCACACAACCTTTATCGGTGTTCATGAATAATTATTTGCATGATACTGTGCGACAAAAGGTCTATTTTCAAAGTGACAGTGAGTCGGTGATAAACGGGCTGGCATTTATGTGTTGCTGTTTTAGTGACTAAATGTTTGTATCTGTAGATTTAAGGGAACAGGAATTAAAACTGACGAATCAACTTTAACTACATGAAGACCGTGATTTTTTTTTTAGTTGTTCCCTGACATTTAACTGCATTAATTTAAAGATCTGTTCATATCTTGGAAGCATTTTTTCTGTCTGTATCTTATTTGCATGAATGTCGGTGGGAATTCTAAGGAGCTTGAAAAGAAAAGCGTCTGGATTGTAAAAAGTGGAAAATACGCGTGCGAACGTGGGAAGTGTCGCCTCTCACTTTCAGAGTTGTGTCAATTTTAACAGGTAGCTGTAAATGCAGCGCTAATTCCTCCTTTCCCACGAGAAATATCTCGATCATTTCGATGCTGCTTTCTCTGTACAAATTAAAGAATTTTCTGAATTAAGTATATTGGCTCGGCGAAAAATCTGAAAATCTTTCTCCTCCTATAAGTGATTGTTTTTTATTCAACTTAAAATAGTTCTGAAATGAAAACTGGTCATAGGATCACACCGTCGCTCCTAAAAAGCAAGCTTTCCTTGATTAAGGCACGTGTCAGCTTTGCATGCGCAAATAGCCCCCCCTCCCAAAGCAAAATGAGCTACCAGCTTTTTCAAATGAAGCACAAGAGCAGGAAAAAACAGAACAGCATCTGGAGTAAAATTATGTTTATTTTAAGTTAAATTTTCAAACGTTTTGACGCAAGACTTTTATTTAACTTTATGCACACGACTGCGCATAAGATTCATTTTCTTGTTTTATACTCTTGACATCAGATCGAGATTAGACAAGTTCAAAAATAAAAACAAATCTAGGATTTTTTCATTTGCAGTGTTACCAAACGGTGAGACCAAGGGACCTGGAGGAGGGGTAGGGAAGTAGGAGGAGTCTGGGAGGCTGTCAGGACCACAGTAAAAATAAGTGGCAGGAAACTAGAGCCTCATTTCCAGATCAGTAACAGACTGCGAAGGAAGCTGTTACCAGTAGACCAGAGCAGAACATGGGACCATCGGTTGGTAGGAAGCTGTTACATGAGGCGGAGAAAGCAACAAATAATAGAAAGGTAAAGCAAGTCCAGATACCTGTCAAGTGACGTGATTTCATTTCATATAGTGATTCTCTGTTATTACCGCAATAACAATCAGATTCATTGAGGATTAAAGCATCAGCTTTGTCAAAATTTCAGTAATTTGGAGATATGAAAAAGTTTGTATAATTTAGTGAGCTGAATTCCCTCTAATCATTTAGTCATTTCCATTTGCTCCTTTTTTGCTTTTCTTTGGTAGTTTTTCTTTTTACGCGGTATATAATTAAACAAAATCAGGAAACCACGTTTAGACTTTGGTTTTCTTTTCTTTTTTTTCTTTTTTTTTTGCGATAGTTAATAAAATCTCAGGTGGAGAAACGTCGGAGGGACAGAATGAACCGCAGTTTGGAGTGTCTGAGGACCATGTTTCTGCAGGAGCCACAAGAAGTAAGAGACGTTTTTAGTTCTCTATGAATTTTATAGAAATAAATCGATGTGGTTCATACTTGTGGTTTTTATTAATTTATTATTATGAAACATGAAGGTTAACTTGCTGCTCTCATGCAGGGGTCCACTCAGCACCGAGTGGAGAAAGCTGAGATACTGGAGCACACAGTCCTCTTCCTCCAGAACACTGCCAAAGGAGACAAGACTACAGGTGGACGTGGGGACCAGAAACGCTCCTTCCAGGACGGTTTCTCCACTTGCCTGCAGACAGCTGCGGGGTTTCTGGGCCCCGAGGGGAAAGGGTCGGAGCTCGGATCGGCGCTGGATGCAGCTTTTGCCGCTCGTTTGGCCCGTTCACACTCACAGCCCGAAGGTCTCCAAAGCAGAAACTTTTTGCCGCACGCAAAGTTTATTCTGCGGGTGCTGAGGCAGAAGTCCAAGCTCAGACTCCCGGCACGTGCCTCAGGGGAGAAACGTTTGATCCGACCTTACCCACTCCCACTCCAACAAAGGTTTCCCAGAGTCCCCAAACAGCCTCAGAAACAAAGAGAGTCCGAGATCAGAGCAGAGAGAGGAGCGACCAAACAGAGCTCAGCCCAGAGCTCCCCCTCCAGCCACACTTTGTGGAGACCTTGGCCCTGATCACCAGGCAGGGACTTCAGAGCTATCAATGACTATAGACTATTTAACATAAACACACAACTTCTTTTTAAAAACTGTAGCCTTATGAAGACGCATAACTTCAGGTCCTGTAAATATTGTAAATACCCGAGTATGACTTGATCTGTATGTGTAATAGGGTTGATTCACTGTTTTAAATACTTTTCAATGAGCTCAGTCAGCCACGTAAGTGGCTCAGGGGAACGGGGACTCTCTCAGGCTGCGACACAGGTGAGCTGGATCAGCCGAGCGGTCCAGCTGGGATTGCTGCGCTGAAGAGCGAGTGAAGAGGTGAGTTTCACGAAGCCGAGGAGATTTTGTCCTCTTTGATGCGCTACTAAAAGCTGCTACTATGTGCCGTCATGATTAAAGAGCATGCTGCGGTAGTGGATAATGACTGAGTGTCCATCCATCACATTTCCAGGTGTGGAAGCTCAGGGTTTGAGGCTGGGAGACCCACGCAGACCTTCATATTCACCTCTCTGGTGGAACGAGCGACACCTGTGTCTCTGTGTACAACATCACTTCTATTCAATCTGAAGATATTTCTGGTCGGTTTTTGCACAATAATTTAATCTGGATTTCTCCCTATGGCGACCTGTACTCTTCAAAGTTAAAACAATCAAATAAATCTTTAAAAACTTGTCAGATGATTGTTTCAAGATTAAAGGAAACCCGGAGGCCTTTTACTCTTTCAGCTCTTTTTAGTCCGAGGCAGAGGTGTGAAGCTCGACCTCCTGCAGAGTTACATCCTCCAGGTGTGAAGACTGGTCATGAAATGAAAGAGCTCAGCAGCAGCTCTCACTTCAAAGACATCATAGCCATTGTCGCACTTTACTGGCACTGAAAGACTTTTGGATTAAGATTAGTTAATATAGTTCAGATAATTTAAGACAACTTAATAATAATAATAATAATAATAATATTAATAACTACATCCACTTTTTTCTGCATCATCCAGTTTCGTTTCTCACAGTTGCCTTTAAACATATTTAGAATAGCAGGATCCATTAAAGTCAAGATCATTTCACATAATTAACACACAGCTCACGTCTGCGTTTGTTTCCTTTGTATTCAGCGTCTATCCTGTCACCAGCATCGCCCCCAGCTGCTCAGAGGTCATTTGTTTTCCACACGTGTGTGGTGTCAGGTCCCAGGGAGCAAAACGTGTCTTAACCCCGTAAGAATCAGTGGCATTTTTTTCCCCCCTATCGTCACCGTTAGTTTCAAACTATATCGTAGGCTTTATGTGACACCAGCAGTGATAAAGTGACACCGTCTCAATGCTGGTCATCATGCCCTTTTGCTGCTAAAGTATTTATACCTACATTCTATATTCATACTTGTACTCAGGTTGGTACTCTATTGTATTATTTTATTACTTGTTTTTCTGTTTTGAAGGAAAAAAAAAACCCAAAAACTTTATTTAATACTTTTTAAATTCTGTTTTTTTAAATTCTGTTTCTTCGTTCCACCTCATGTAAACATGTGATGTGAATGACAAATAAAGCTCCTTGAATCCTTATAGTTCTCATACACATTTTATATGAAGTGCAATTTATGGACCGTGAATGCCTCATCACTTCCGGCCCTGCAGCTCGTTATAGGCAACTTCCCCCGACAAAACCTTTTCTCCATTAATTTCAATCTTCTGAAGAAAATAACTGTAGTAACTTCTTGACAGAGTTTTACTGCTTTATGGCTCAGTCAGCACCATTATACTTGTATATTATATATAATGTACATGTATATATAACACCGACCCCTGTTATACTGTGGTTCTGTTATTTGACTCATGTGCATCTGATAAGGATTCTTTCTGAATGTCTGTGAAGACATTCCCCCACTACCTGCATCCAAACAAGTGACAATAAATAAAGGATGGATGGATGGATGGACCACATTCTGTGCAATCAAAAGGCAAAACATTTTATTAGATAAACAGTGAGTTTTTAAAAGAAACTTTGGATCATGATTTCTGATGGCATATATACCAGGTATTGGTTTTTACATTTCTTGAAAAAATCTTTGGTCACTTCCACAGACTGCTAAGTGTAAGTCTACGCAAGAGATCGAACAGGCCTGACTGGTCTGTGTTCTCCAGTTTGTCATCTGGGATGCGAGAAAGTTCAGTAACGATGTTTCCGTGCCTCAGAAACAACTTAAATTCATTGAGCTTCTCCCTCCTAAAGCCTCTCTCCATCTGATGCTGCCGTTGGTCCCTGATGAAGTCAAGTCAAACAAACAAAGGGGTATGACTTGACCATAACTTAACTGGCGGATAACTGATGACAAGCTACACATCCAGTTCAATCACAAGCTTAACACAATTTTAAAACTATAAATCATCCACTTGCATCCTATCAAATTAAGATTTGCAGCATGAAGTCAGAGTAAACTGATGTTACTTACTTTCTGCATCACTGCAGGCAGCTTATTCACAGTGTTTGTCTAGGAGGAAGAAAATGATAAATTACAGGATGCTTTTATAAGTATTTTATAAATATTTAGAATACAAAAGGATCACATCTGACGTTTCTTTTTTAGATTTGGGAAGTATTTTCCTAATTCATCTCTATGGGTTTGAAGTTGAGATTTGCCAGGCTGAAACATTTTAAAGGACTGGATTAGAGCAGAACAGTTTCAGATCATTTGAATGCAAACAAATGTTTGAGCAGGCTGCTGGGAAGATTCATACTAGTCCAATACTACAATCACTTTCAAAGTGCCAAGCATGAAAGCTGCTTTTCAAATTAATAATTAAAATAGTAAAAATCACTGCTGCAGGTTGTAAGAATTAAACTTGCAGGTTTTCTGTTATCTTTACAGTCTGTGTTAAATCATTTATGCATCATAAATTAAGAATAAAACCTAATGAAAAAATATTTTGATGTGGTTCTGTTGGCTTCATCGGGTGATTGCCTCCAGCTCGCACTGGAACGGTTCACAGCCGAGTGTGAAGCAGCGGGAATGAGGGTCAGCACCTCCAAATCTGAGGCTATGGTTCTCAGCCGGAAAAGGGTGGAGTGCCCACTCCGGGTCGGGGATGAGTTCCTGCCCCAAGTGGAGGAGTTCAAGTATCTCGGGGTCTTGTTCGCGAGTGATGGGAGCCGGAGATCGACAGACGGATTGGTGCTGCGGCCGCTGCACCGGTCCGTCGTGGTAAGAGGGAGCTGAGCGTAAAAGCGAAGCTCTCAATTTACTGGTCGATCTACGTCCCTACCCTCACCTATGGCTACGAGCTGTGGGTAGTGACCGAAAGAACAAGATCGCGGATACGAGCGGCGGAAATGAGCTTCACCCAAAGGGTGGCTGGCCTCTCCCTTAGCGATAGGGTGAGAAATTCAGTCATCCGGGAGGGGTTCAAAGTCTAGCCGCTGCTCCTCCACATCGAAATCAGCCAGCTGAGGTGGTTCGGGCATCTGACAAGGATGCCTCCTGGGTGAGGTGTTCCGGGCGTGTCCCACCGGGAGGAGGCCCCGGGGCAGACCCAGGACACGCTGGAGAGATTATATCTCATGGCTGGCCTGGGAACGTCTTGGTGTTCCCCCAGATAAGCTAGAGGAGGTGGCTGGGGAGAGGGAGGTCTGGGGCTCTCTGCTTAGGCTGCTGCACCTGCGACCCGGCCCCGGATAAAGGGAGGGAGGGAGGGATGGAAATATTTGTCTCAAGGTTGTCTGCGCAAATGTTTTTTACAACAAATATTCACATTGCATGCTGATACTGCATGTCAATATATGAATCAGACTCTGTATCAACAGATATTCACTATCAAAGGACTCGAATCCAGATTAGAGCCACAAAAACTTTATCCGAATATTTCCTGGCTTTAAGTGTTGTGATGGTTAACAATTATTGTTTCACCGAGTACACAGTAAGTGTGGATGAAGCAGAACGAGTATTACTGGGTATAAAGAGTGGAAAGTTTTGTTTAATTATTACCCTCTGTAGCCTTTGATGCCCCAAACCAGTGTTTTTTTGGCTCAACTGAGTTCACCTGCCCCCTGTCATGGTTCTTGAATCTGTTCTTCCTCAGTCTCTGTTAAGTCATCATCTCATCTCATTCAAAGTCCTTCACCTGTTTGTTTTTTTCTTCTAGGATATTGGTATTAGTTTATTTTCCCCGGTTTCCATTCTTGATTAAAAGTTCAGTTCAGTTTTAAACTTGTCTTACAGTCTTAGTTGTGTTTGCAGTGAGGTCCTGAGTAATTTTAGTGCAGAAATGTGAAAATCATTTACTGAGAAGAGAGCAGAGTTAATATTTGTGAACTTACCAACAGTAGTGACACCGGTTACTCCCCTCGAGGATCTTGGACCTGTACAGAAAATATTAAAATGACTTCACACTTGTTATAAGTCACTGGCACTAAATCTAACCGTTTTGTTCTCAAAATGTCTGAAATGTAATCTTTTTTTCAAATTTGTCCTGAACTTTCTCTCCCTTATGCCCTCGCAACCTTTCTACCTTTGAATCACTTATTGCCTGAAAGTCTACATTTATCACTTCAGATGGGTCTCTAACATGAACCGTTTATAAGTGAAACTGCACAACATGCATTCTTCTAGATGCAAAAGATTAATAACCAAAACACAACACTGAATACTTTTCTACTTGATAGAGTAGCAAAAGCTGTTTGGATCTCACCTTCCCCATAACCAGACTTTGGATGATCGTCTGAAATAAAATACAAAGCAAAAAAAAAATCTAAACAGTAAATGTTATTTTACAGTCACCATAAAGATTTTATACAAAAAGCTACGTGCTATCTGAAGTATTCTATTTAATAGTTAAATGTGATATATTCCAATCTCTTTGAAATAATAATTGACAAGTGAGCAAAAGTTTAATGGCTCCAGCCAAATAAAAAGGACCCTGAAAGCTTTGGTGAGTGGGTTGGGATGAATTAAAAAAAAATTAAAAAAACTTATCAAAGCTATGATCTCCATCTTTAAGTAAAAAATATATTAAAAACATATTCTTTGAGAATATCATGTTTTCTGAAAATAGTATATTAAAAATAACAGTATCTAACCCTTTGAGTGTGCATTGGGATATACAAATTTGATTTGTTTCATTTCAATTACTGACCTTTTTGGAGTTTACAGGTCCAGACAGGTTCATACACCGGTTCATATTTTTTGGACAAAGCATACTGAAGTTTTAGATTGAAGCATCCTTTGGGATTTTCAATGTACACTTCATAGAAGTTGGAGTCCTGGCCATTATATCTGAGGGTTATTTTCTAGTTAAAAATATAACAGAGAAGGGAGAGGAGTTAGTCCAGTTCCATCAGAAGCAAAAACAAAAGAAATTTCAGGATTAAAAATAAAAGACTGGAAAGAGTCAACTGAATATGCAGCTGCTCTGTGACTTAACCTGGAAATCTATCAGCAAGTCTGATGACAAAGCTTCTGGTGAAAGTCACCAATTTTTCAGTGCTTCTGGTCCACACAGTGGATTCTCAGGCCAGTATTTCAATTATGTCCACACATGGAAACCAGAAATCTTCCTGACTCTTGCTCACAGGACAGTGTATTCAAATGCATTTATCTATTCATAGAGTAGTGAAGAAATGTGACAATATCTTACTGCAGATTCCTCTGTGATTCCCACCCATACTGGTCACACTATTTACAACCCGTCGTAAAAACGCTCTGATCCTAAAGCACCACAGTTGCTGACAGAGTGTAAAAAGCGTACCTTTGGTTGAATTTCTGCCGAGTCGGTGTCGGCTGTGAGGGAGAAACCATGATGCATTTTGAGGTACTCATCTGGGCGTGGCTTGGTAATTTTTTCATATCCATAACACAATTCTTGCTTGTCCACTTTCTGTGAGGAAAAAAAAAAAATATTCAACTCAGTATTATCCAATCACAACACCAGGTGCCTCAAGGTGCTTTCTGTTGTGAGGTAAAGACCCTACAAATATACGTCAAGTCCAAAAGTCCTTCAGGATTGCCTCAGCATTTCCATCTGTTGTCTTTAAATACAGTTGAAAAACAATGTATTGAATTTACACTAAATGAATGTAAATACATTTGAAGAAAAAGTGCTGTCGCCGAGAATAAAGAATTAAAATAATATTTATAACACTCTACTTTTGTATCCTGTTTGTTTCCAGAACTCTGGGATTATATTTCATATATAATTTATATTCAGCTTTTCATTAACAATTTTATAATGTTATTATCTGCTGTGGCTATAAATCAGTGAGATTATATTTTACTTAAGTCGGTATAATGTAACATTATCTGACAGACAGATCTCATGACTCGTACATGAAGATTAACCATTTTCTGTTGTCACTGCAACTGCATTCACATACATCATTAATCCATGGGTTACCAAAACAAGTGTTTACAGCCAGCTTATAAAAAGAAAACTGAAATATTTTTCACAAATGTATACATTCTATCTTAAAGTAAAATGACTTTCTTCTCTTAATATTCACTTTTATCCCTTAATTCTTTTTTTTAATTATCTTAAAATAACTTTTCTTATGAAATACTATTCTC